CGGCTACGGGGCTTGTCCTGGCAGCCGCAGAGCTGGGCTGGGTGCCCTCGGCACGGCGCAACAGGCCAACGCCAGCCACGTGCCAGCCCGTCCCGCCTCAGGCTGCTCCCCCAGAGCACACCAGCGCTGACCCCGGGGTCCTGGCCCACAGCACTGCCTTGCACCCCTGCCCGTGGGGCACGGGGAGCCCCGCTCCTGCCAGCGTGGGGGGACCACGTGCCCCAGTAATGAGGGAGGGGGTCTGAGCACCATCCCCCATGAACGGGGGGATGCCAGGCCGCTGGTCCAGCGCCACGTGCTCACCCGTCACCATCTCCAGGACACGCTGCCCGTTCTCCAGTGCCCGCTCCAGCTCGCCGAGCCGTGGACGGATCTCCTCGCAGAGGCCCTGTGGAGCAGGGCGGGGGGGGTGAATGCAGCCCCTGCCCCGGGGGGACCCCCACCCCAAAACCCCCGACCCCCCCATGTGCAGGGAGCTGCCCGGTCTCCTCTGGCCCCAGCCCCACCTGGATCTGCTGGTGGGCGTCACGGACGTGGCTGACGCAGCCGTTGGCGCGCCAGAGCCGGGCCAGGTGCCGCTCCGTGGCGCTGAGCCACTCCTGGAAGGCGTCCACCGACTCCTGGAAGCGCTGGGCCGCCGGCAGGATGCGCTCCAGGCAGCCGTGCCTGCAGGGGTGGCGGGGCAGGAGCAGGGTCTCAGGCCCGGGGAGCTGGGGCCAAGGGCAAACGCTCCTGGCCCCGCTCTCCCTCTGCCCCGCAAGGTCGCCCCAGCTCGTGCACCAGCCCGGAGCCGCCAGGCCCAGCGGTGATGCCCAGAGGTGCAGGACGCAGCGAGCTGCTCACGGCGCGGGTCAGGCAGGAAGGGTGGCATGGCCCGGGGGTTGTGAGCACGGAGTGGTGCAAGGAAGGGCCCTTCCTTGCACTGGGTCTTTTTGCACCTCCAGCTGCCCCTTTCCCTGTGCAAACACGTCCCCCGGCCGGAGGCTCCCAGCACCCCCTCCCTGCAGGGCCCAGCCTGGCGTTGGGGGTGGGCAGCTTGCTGGCTGACCGCCTCTGGTCCCCATCCGGGGCAGCCGGCCGTGCCCAGCTCCCTCCCGCTCCCCCAGGGCTCTTTGTCTGCCTGGCCAGGCCGCGGCTCACCCGGCAGGCGCTTTGTGTCCTGATGCAAATTCCAGCACAGCCCCAGCCGCGCACAAAGGGGCTCTGACCCGCAGCCGCACGGCCCCGAGCTGCTGGGGCCCTGGGGAGGGGAGGGGAGGGAGAGGAGGGATGGTGGCAATGGCCTCAGGCAGGGCACACGCTGGGGCCACGATGCCATGGGGCTGGGAGGGGGGGTCTCCTGGTCTGGGCGGGGGGCTGGGCTGCAAGGCAGAGCCCTGGAGAAGAGGATGCTGCAGGGCCCGCAGTGACCATGGAGCGAGGGTCGACCCCAGCCCTCCGCTGCTGCCTCTTGCCTCCCCGTGGGTCAGAGCAAGGGCTCTGCTGCTGTGAGAGTGCGGGCATGCATTCATGTGTGTGCATGCATGCATGCGTAGGCACATACATCCATGTATGCCTGTGCACATGCATGTGCACGGGTGTATGCATGTATGCACTTGTGCATGTGTGTGCACACACATGCGTGTGTGTGTGCGGGCAGCAGGCCTGTGGCTAAGCTACATTTCCCATGCTGCAGCTGGACACCATGGCCCCGTGTCCCGTGCCGTCCCCCGCAGCCACAGAATTGTCCTTCTCCATCCTGCGCAGAGGAGGTCCCTGAAGGCCGTTAGCGAGTCCTCTCTTCCCCAGCCTCAGTCATCCCACAGCCCCCAGCCTCTCCTACGGGGGGGGGAGGTGACCCCCTGGGCCACCCAGCCCCATGGCACAAGGTGAAACAAGAGGGGAACGACCTGGGGGTGAGGCCGTGACAAGACACCGCCGGCCTCGACCTGCCACTGCTGCTGCGGGGGGCAGGTGGCCTATTGCATGCCACGTCCCCCGAGGGGAAGGAATGGGCTTGGGTGGCAGTGTGGAAGACTGAGGCTGGGTTACACGGCCTCCCCCGGCCCCTCCTTCCTCCAGGTCTACAGAGCAGGTGCCTAAAGCCCCCGGGCTGCCGCCAACGAGCTCCAGGGCAAGCCCTCTCTGCCCCACAAAGGGGCAGCTGGGCGGGCGCCTTCAGGGCACGGGGCATCTAGGCTCTGTCGCAACGGGCAGCTGCAGTACCCAGCGGCCCCGGGCTGTGCCTGAGCCTGGCGCGCCCGGCTGCTGCGGTGGTGGGAGCACGGCTGCTGCCGGCCCTGCACGCTCCAGGCAAAGGGGAGCCCAGGGGCCCTCACCACTGCCTCACCTGGCCTCCGCCTCCTGGATCAGCTGCGCCCACTTCTCCTGCAGCTCGGCCAGGCCCTCATGTCCGTCCGGCTCCGGAGGCGGCTGTCTGTCCTGCAGGACGCGCTCCACGCGGGGCCGCCGCTCCTCCAGGAGCCGTTTCAGGAGCTGTTGGGAGTCGAGGTCCGACTGGCTGGCCCGCAACGCGCTGCCCCGGCCCCCCGGTCACGTCGCGGCGCCCTCCCACGGCAGACGTCCCCCTCACCTTCTGCTCCTGCAGCTGGGCTTTCACCACCTTCACCTCAGACGAGGGCGGCTTCTGGTTGCTCACCAGGTCCTCCATGTCGGTCACCCAGCTCAGCAGCTTCTCCAGCGAGTCCTGGGCCGGCTCCGCACCCGGGGCATCCTCCAGGAACGGCACGACCCGCTGGGTCACCTGCGGGAGCAGCAGGAGCTGAGCCGGGGGCAGGGACAGAGCCCACCGGGGCTGGGAGACGCCACGCGACGCCCGGCCGGCCGGGCAGGGGCCTTGGCCGTGCGACCCCAGGGAGGGCAGGGGCCGGCGGCACGGACCAGCAAGGCTGCACCCAGCCCCGCTGCGTGGATTTGCCCGTAGGACTCGGTCCCGCCTCCCTGAGCCGCACGCGCCAGCACGGGCAGGGTGGGCTCTGGCCCCGTCCCCCAGGTGCCCGGGTCCAAGGCCTGCGAGCACAGCGGGGAGGGCGCAGCGCAGGAGAGCAGCCCGGGCCCTGGCGGCTGCACGACCAGTCCATCGCTGCCCAGCTGGGAGATCACCGAGCGCACGGGACGAATTACGGGGGCACAGGGCGGTTGCAGGGCTCCATCACCTCCCTCCCCAGCACTGGGGGGATGGCAGATAGTGGGCACGGGATCCCTGCGAGCAAAACGCCAGGCCCCGGGAGGTCAGGGGCCCCTAGAAAGTGCTGCAGCCACTTCTCTCCTTTCCCCCACGATTTGGGGAACACCTCGCTCAGGCCCCCCACAGTTCCCGATGGCGCCAGAACCAGGACGACGGCGAATGGCTCTGGACACACACACACGTATACACACTTATGCACACCCCCCCACTGGCGCAAGCGGGCCTGCCCCCAGGACCAGCCCCTCCAGGCGCCTGCCGGGCGCAGGTGTGGAGGCAGAGCAGAGGCGCGGGGCATGCTCCCTGCAGCACGTCGGCACCCAGCACAGGGCACGCTCCCTGCAGCGTGCCGGCACAGGACACGCTCCTGGAAGCACGCCAGTACCCGCCCCAGCGCCATAGGGGTCGCAGAGACGCGTTGTCGGCTGATGAAACCCCCAGGCGAGCGACGCCTGGGCCAGCGGCCCCTGCAGACTCCTGCGCACGGCCGGGGGCACGCGGGCACGGCAGCATCACGTATTAACCTCGGCCAGCTCCCCGGAGCGCTCAGTCAGCACCTTCACGGTGCGGGTGACGACGGGCTCCCCGCCCCGCTCGCCAGCGGGGTACTCGGTCACCTCCACGATCTCCGTCACAATGGTCTCCGTCACCTCTGTCACCTCCGTCACCTCCCGCGTGGTGAGGGGCTTCCAGGGCCAGCTGCTTCCCGAGCCCCGCGGGGCGGCCACGTGCTGGGGGGTCCGGGACGCCCCCGCGGCCTCCAGCTGGGCCTTGAGCGGGTTGCAGCCCGTGCTGCCGTTCTGCACCTTCACCTCCATGTTGTTCTGCTTGGGCAGGGGGCTGCTGGGCTGGCTCTTGGCCGCGCTCGGCGCCGGGCTCCAGCCGTTCTCGATCACCACGGGGTTCAGCGGGGACTTCTCGGCGGGTGCTGCCCGGGCCTCAGCGTTGTTCCTGCCGGTGGCGGGGGGCGCAGCCTCGAGCCCCAGGTCCTTGAGGTACGACTCCTTCAGGAACTCCTCCGACTTCTGGGTCTTCTGCCCCAGGCAGCTGGGCCGGCTCACCGAGTTCCCCATGGCGCGGCGCGGCACGGCGTGGCAGCGCGGCGACCTCAGGTCGGCACCTGCAACTAAGGGGCAGCCACGTTACCCCTGCGGGGCAGAGGGTGCAGATCCCTCCCACCCTGCACGGCCATCCTCATCCCATCCCGGGGACCGGAGCCCTTCCCTGCTGCCTCAGAGCCGGGTCTGGGTGCAGATCTCCTGCCCAGAGGGGGAGGGCACCTGCCCCGCCAGACAGGGCTGTCCTCACGTGATGGGGCTGAGCCTGGCCCGGCTGCCCTGGCTCGGGTCTACCCCCGAGGCCTGGCTCCCTGGGGTGAAGGCAGGGGCAGAGCGGGCTCCCGTTGGGGGCACTGCAGGGGCGCGGGTGGAGAGCGAGCCGTCCCGGTGCTGTCCAGGAGAGGACGGCGCCGCGGCAGGGCGCTCCCAGCGGCGTGGGCACACGCCTCGTTAGCCAGGGAGGCAGCGCAGGGCACCAGGCAGACGGGCAGATGCTGCTAACGGGCCTCGCTTTGTACCATTAGATTAACTCCCAGGCAGGCTGGAGCCGGGAGAAAGGAGCCATCTGTCTGCAGGGCCCTGACAAAGGCAGCGCAGGGAGCTGAAAGGGGCACGCTGCCGCAGACGGGGCGCTCGGGGGGGCTGGGGAGCCATCCGTCACCGAGACACCCCCCAGACAGGAAGAGTCAGGCGCCGCCTCCTCCACCCAGCCTGCCTTTGCGGCTGTAAATCCCGGAGCACCCAGACAGGACCCTCCCCGCCGGCCCCCGCCCCAAGCACCGGCGCTGCCATCTGCACCGCGCATCCATCACTCGGACACTCGCGTTCCCACCAGAGACGCCCAGCTGCAGCCGCAGCCCCAGCCGCAGCCGCAGCCCCAGCCGTGCAGGCCACAGGCAGCCCCAGCCACGCACCCCACAGGCAGCCGTGGCCAGGCATGCACACACATGTGGCCATACTCCTCAGACAGCTGCAGCCACAGTCTTGCAGCCACACAGACAACCGCAGCCATGCACCCTATATCGCCAGGGCAGCCGCAGCCACGCACCAGCTGGTACCTGCACCGCTGTGGCCACGTGCCCCGGAGACAGCTGTGCCACACACCACAGACAGCCACTGCCACATCCCCTGCACCAGCAGCCAGTCTCACATCTGCACAGCCAGACACAGCCGCAGCCTCGTCCCCGTGCAGACAGCCGGAGCCATGCACCCCCCACAGCCAGGACAGCTGCAGCCGCGCGCCCGCACAGACAACCGTAGCCAGGTACCTGCACAGCCACGGCCACGCGCCCCACAGACAGCCACAGCCTTGCACCCACGCGGCCAGCTGTAGCCATGCGTCCCACACAGCCAGGACAGCCGCAGCCCCAGCCCCAGCCCCAGACACGCACCCACACGGGCAGCCACGGGCACACACCCAGCCAGGCGCTCACCCACGGGGACAGGGCACCCCCACAGAAGCTGGCGCCACACAAACCCCGGGCAGGCCCTGCAGACAGCTGCAGCCACGCACCCCACAACCAGCACGCGACCTGCGCCAAGCACGGCCACGTGGGCACGGGGTCCCGAGCCCTGATGCCCACGCGGACATGCATGCACATGCACATGCACATATGCACACGCACACGCACACCCGCGTGCACCTGCACGCGCATGCACACCCCCGCGCACATGGACACGCGCCCCTTGCCAGGCGGGGGCGCGGCCCGAGCCCCCCGCACGCGGCGCA